CGCCCAGAAATCTTTTCACTTGCATATGCAGTAGTTTGGCCTTTATAACTCCTGTTGCTCACAAAAGTATTAGAGGCATCCCTTGCTTAATTGCACTTCTCAGATAGTGCATTGTTTCCAAATTGAAGGTTTGTGGCAACCCTGGTTGAGTGAGTCTTTCAGAGCCCTTTTCCAGCAGCACGTGATCACTTTCTGTCTGTGTCACATTTTGGTAATTCTCACCTTTCAAATATTTTCATTCTATCTGCTGTGGTGCTCTGTGATCAGCCATCTTTAATGCTACTATAATTGTTTTGGGCATCCCACACTGCGGCCATCAAAGAGGGCAAGCCTAATTGGCAAGTGTGGTGTGGGTTCCGGCTGCGCCTCCAACCAGCCATTCCGTCTCTTTCCTTTCCTCAGGCCTCTCTTCTGTGAGACACACTATTGGAGTTAGGTCAATTAATAATCCTCTAGTGGCCTCTAAATGTCCAAGTGAAAGAAAGAATCACACCTTTATCATTTTAAATAAAAAATGAGGGCCGGGCATGGTGGCCTACATCTGTAATCCCAGCATTTTGGGAGAACAAGGCAACAGATGGCCTGAGTGCAGGAGTTCGAGACCAGCCTAGGTAACAGGGCAAACTCCGTCTCTACAAAAAATACAAAAATTAGCCGGGCTAATTTTTAGCCCTGGTGGTATGTGCCTTTAGTCTTAGCTTCTTGGGAAGTTGAGGTGGGAGGATCACCTGAGCTCAGCAGGCAGAGGTTGCTGTGGGTCATGATCGTGCCACTGCACACCAGCCTGGGTAACAGAGCAAGAGCCTTTCTCAAAAAAAATTAACAAATGAAAATCTGGAAATGATTAAATTTAGTGAGGAAGGCATGTGGAAAGCTGAGATCGGCCAGAATCTAGGCCTCTTGTGACAGCCAAGTTGTAAATGCAAAGGAAAAGTTCTTGAAGGAAATGAAAAGTGCTATCCAGTGAATACACAAATGATAAGAAAGTATAACAGCGTCACTGCAGATATGAGGAAAGTTCAAGTATTCAGAATAGAAGATCAGACTAGCCACACATCCCTTTAGGCCAAAATCTAATCCAGAGCAAGGCCCTACCTCTCTTCCATGAAGGGTGAGAGAGGTGAGGAAGCCGCGCAAGTCTGAAGCTAGCAGAGGTTGATTCATGAAGTTTAAGGAAAGAAATCATCTCTGTAACACAGAAATGCAAGGTGAAGTGGCAAGTGCTGATGGAGAAGCTGCAGCAAGTTATCCAGATCTAGCTAAGATCACCAGCGAAGGCGGTAACACTAAAAGCAGATTTTCAATGCAGACGAAATAGCCTTCTATTAGAAGAAATGCCATCTAGGACTTTCTTAGCTAGAAAGGAGATATCAAGGCCTGGCCTCAAAGCTTGAAAGGACTGGCCCACTCTCGTTTAGGGGCTAAAGCAGCTGGTATGTTTAAGTTGAAGCCAATGTTCATTGACTATTCTGAAAATCCTAGAGCCTTTAATAGTGCTGGTGAATCTACTCTGCCTCTGCTCTACAAATGGAACAATAAAGCTTGGATGACAGCACATCAGTTTACAGCATGGTTTCCTGAATATTGAAGCCCACTGCTGGGACCTACTGCTCAGAGGAAAAGATTCCTTTTAAAATATGACTGCTCATTGACAATTTACCTGGCCACCCAGGAGGTCTGATGGAGATGAACGTTGTTCTCATGCCTGCTAACGCAACATCTGTTCCTTAGCTTGTGGATCAAGGAGTAATTTTAACTTTCAGGTTTTATTATTTAAGAAATAGATTTAATAAGGCCTTGGCTGCACCAATAGTGATTCTTTTGCTGGATGTGGGCAAAGTAAATTGGAAGCCTTCTAGAAAGGATTCACCATTCTAGATACCAGTAAAGAACATTAGTGGCTTCATAGGAGGAGGTCAAAATATTGACCATGCTAGGACGTTGGAAGAAGTTGATTTCAATCCTCATGGCTGACTTCAAGGGGTTCAAGACTTCAGTGGAAGGAAGTACATAACTGTAGATGTAGTGGAAATAGCAAGACACTCTAGTTAGAAGTGAAGCCTGAAGATGTGACTGAATCGCTACAGTCTCATGATAAAACTTGAACGGATGAGATGTTGGTTCTTAACGGATGAGCGAAGAAAGTGATCTGTTGAGATGAATCTACTCCTGGTGAAGACATGGTAAACACTGTTTTAAATGACAATAAGGGATTTAAAATATTTCATCAATTTAGTTGAGAAAACAGTGGCAGAGTTTGAGACAACTGATTTCAATTTTGAAAGAGGTTCTACTGTAGGCAAAATGTATTGTGTGCTACAGAAAAATCTTTGATGGAAAGAAGAGTCCATCAATGCAACAATATTATTTTTAGAAATTGTCACAGCCACTCCAACCTTCAGCAGCCACCACCCTGGTCAGTCATCAGCCATCATTCAAAGCAAGACCGTCTACCCGCCAAAGATTACAATTTACTGCAGGCTCAGATGCTCATTAGCATTTTTTTTTTTTTTTTTTTGCAGTAAAGCATTTTAAAAGTAAGGTATGTACAGATTTTAGACATAATGCTATTGCATACTTAATAGACTATAGTATAGTATAAACAACTTCTCTGTGGCCTGGGAAATGAAAAAATTAGTATGGCTTGCTTTATTGCAATATTCAATTTATTACAGTGGCCTGGGACCAAACTTGAAATATCTGTGAGGTTTGCCTTTACTCTTGGTAAAAAGGTCCAAAGGGTATGGAAACATGGGCCAGGAATGTGTCCTATAATCCATAGACAACAGTCATTCAGTTTAGGACACATCCCTTGCATGCCTTTTAGACATGGAATCATACTATAGCCCTTGGACTTGGTTTTTTAAGCCTAATCTGTTTTGTAATTTTTTAATGTTGGCATCTGTGGATTTCCTCATCTTTATCAGTTACATAATCATCCACTGTGTTTATACTGTACCATAACTTATGTATCCATCAGCAATGCCATGGTGTAGATCTTTGAACAAGTATCTATGAGTAGGTATGGGGGGCAGTTTTAACGAATGAATCGCCCCTTTATATTCTTGTGGCATTGTAGTTTTACTTTGTGTTTCTGATTATTCTACATTGCACCTTGGCTGGTGAGTGGCCTTGGACTGTGCAGGTGTAGGCGTGCTGCCCCCTTCACAGCCACAGCTCATTTGCCTTTAGAAAGAAAAGGAACACAGGGAATCCATGAAGGTTTGACTCGTTGTGACATCACGTTTTGGGGTCTCAAAGGACAAAATGCAACTGAGTTGGTGGAGCGGCTGCATTGCCCAAAAATCTCTTCAGTGAGCGATCCCCTGGAGACCACTTTGGAGGTCTGGGCTGGGAAGTGCCTTCCAGCTTTACCTAGGTTTCAGCTCTTTGATGCCTTTTTTTAAAAAGTCAATTTCATCATCTCTCAAAGGGAGAAATGGCATGAAAGTTGTAGAACTATTGTTAGGACAGAGCCCTTGCTTGCCTTATTTGGGAGTGCTCACAAGTCCGCTGTTTGGTAGTTAGCCGCCTTGGCCAACAAACAGCTGGGCTCACACTTCAAGCCTAATTGGGAATGTAATTTAGTGCCACTCTGAAAGGAAAAAAAAATGTACGTTAAGTGCCGTGTGTGGTTTAATGAGCAAGCTGTGGGTATTGGAATTTAACCTTTTTAAAATACAACATTAATAATGCTGTTTTTTCCCCTAGACTATTTGCAGGTGTCTTCCCTCGAATAACAGCCATCAGTCTGGGAGGTTTCATCTTTCTGGGGACTTATGACCAGACGCACAGCTTGCTGTTGGAAGTTGGCAGAAAGAGTTCTTGAAGCAGAGACAGCCTCACCTCCACTTCTGTCAACAGAGGGGCCTGCAGTGTAAACCCTCCTTCTGCTGAGCAGCTGTCTGAGCTACAGGCCCCAGTGCGAGCGAACAGTTCTGCCAAGATGCTGGCATCGAGATTGTGCCATCTGTGGTATAGGCTGGCTAGTATAAAGTCAGTGGCCTCTATGCCAGAAAGAGAAGAAAATGTGGTCCCTGGCGGTACTGTGAACCGTTTCCTCAGAACCTCTTAATAAATACGTTTGGTAATGCTGAGGCCAGGCCTTTCAGAGCTTTGATTTGATTTCTATCTGATCTTTCATTTCCTGCCACCGGATGGTGGATTCAGCAGAAGGCAAGATGGTTACAATTTTAAAAGGACACTTGGGGAAGAAGTTGTGTATGTGGGTGTTTCTCCCCCTAGTTAATTCCTGGTGTGTAAGGTTAAGGCTTTGTTGAACAAGAATGAACTACAGGTGCATAGCAAACATTCTTTTTGGGTAACGAGGCTGCTGGTTTTAATTACCCTCAGATTTCACCTATAAAAACACAATTGTATTGTTTTACAGAGACATGTCCAGCGCCCCCTGTGATGTGTGAGAGAAAGCAGTTGCAGCTCAAGTGACTAGGTGGGCCCAGCTGGCTTCACGGAAGAGGGCACGATGGGTGAGCCATTCCCGGTATTCTACATGTCAGGCTGAAAGGAGGGCCTGGGCCGCTTTGAAAACAGCGTTGCTAGAAGTAGGCAGGATGAAATAGGAAGGTCACCACACTTTGAGATTTTAGAGCTTGACTAACAAGCTCCAGGTGTAGAAGAATTCAGAACACAATCTCAGGAATCTAGCAGTGTTGTCTGCCCTGGAGCCAATATTCTTTCTTTCTTCAGGAAAGATAATTAAAGGCAGAGTGGCTGTGTTTGTAAAAGAAGGACCACCAACTATACTGACATTTATAAATGAACCTTTATTAAAGACACTTCAATGCCATTTGTTAGACACTTCAATATTTTACATGGTTTTCAATGTACACTGTACCAAAATTTCTATAAATAAATAACTTTGTACATAAAAGTAATACTTCCTCTTTCACATTGCCTCTCAGAAGCAGCAAATTCACATATTTTGTGGAAGTAAGATTAGTCAGTTAACTGTCGAGAACAAAATTCTAAATGTGCTTACCTTTTGAACAGTGATGACACCTGACAGTAAAATTGACATTGTTAACTATTTTCTCAGTAACTCCCTTCAGCTTTTGGCCAAAGGAACATTTTAAGGACCTTGTTTGTTTCTATGTAATTTTTACTAAATTACACATTGGCACTCACAAGATGGTTAGCTACAGGTCTCAAAAGTGCAAATACACCCAGAACCCAGGTCAAGGGTGAAGTCTTTTCCAGTCCCAGCTCAGTTTCATCTGTGCGAGGGAAAGGCACATGGACAGCCCTGCTCTGGATCCTCAGTAGAAATAAGGTAGCCCTGAAAAGTAAGAACTTCCTCCTTTTTATCCCCCAAGGCCAATGTAATGCTAATTATATTGGCAGAACGAAAACATCACTATAGAAAAATCCACAGGTACCAACACCAGCAGCCTTTACCTTAATTAAAAGTCTCAAATAGCAATCGAATGATACTGATAGGGCCACATTTGCTTTTATCATAAAATAAGCTTCAGAGGAGGAGGAAAGGCAGTGTGTAACTGTTCTGACCACTTGGATTAACAAACAACCCTCATTCTACTCCTGAAAGACAGACAGCACTTAACAGGAAAAGCTATTCACTGCAGTGTGGACGGCACCTGCTCCCGTGGCGCTACAGGGAGGCCTGTGACAGAGGCATCTACACACAAGCAGTGCTCACCTGAAGCTCCTTCCAGCGCACGTTGAGTGTGGAGGCCAACCGAGCAGCAGCCTAGGGGTCTGTATATGAAGTGCAATACAAATCCAAGCCCTTCCATCCTTCCCCACCCCACACCAGAAACTCCTGGGAACAAATGTGGTTGTAGCCTTTATAAATTCCAGCCATGCGTTAAGGCACCAGAACTATTTCCCCTCCCCCCCTCCAAAATTAAACAGCAACCTGATATGAAAAATAATATTGTCAAAATTGTATAATTTTTTTTTCTGTTAACCATGCACTAAAGATTAAAATAGCCTCTGTAAAAGATATATATGAAATCTCTGAAAACTCTTATGTACAATGGTATCAAATACTTTTTCTGCCTTTTGTACACAAATACCCTCTTGCATTTCTGTGCTTCAGATGCAAGTCCTGTGAACGACGGATACTCCACATGGCAGTTACAACTATATCCATCCACATCAGTGACGCCTGAACCCAGGCTTCCTCACCGCCTCTCCTACCTCTCTTTCCCGTAGAGATTGGCATGACAAGAGCTGAGGTAGACAAAACCTAGCTTTTTGGTGCCAACAGCAGGGGCACCCTCTGTTTGCCAGGGAGCTGTCCTGTCAGTGGTGTGGACTCGGGACTGGAGTCACATGCTTTGGGGAGGTGGCCATTGGAAACAAGCAAGTGCTGGGCTTCTGTGCGCTCTGGGTTGCTTGAAGATAACGAAGATGCAGGCTGCAGCTCTGAGTCCGGGTCATACAGCCTTGCTAAAGTCCAGGAAGAATCCCCTACAAGGAAGGAAAAGACCTGTCAGACCCCCACCTGACTGGTGCAGCAGTTCCCCACCCACCTGTTAGTGGCTCCTCAGAAGACAGAGTTACCTTTCCCGTCTAGAGATGCCGCTCGCTTTTTCTTCACAGCCGCCAGCATTCTATCGTGGTTACTGGGGTAGAGCGACCCCTGGCACTCAGGGCAGGACCCAGCAGCAGTCCCGCTGCACTGGTGATGTGGAGAATGCTCTCGGTCACTCCCACCTGCCTCCGGGCCATGCGGCGCACCTGGCTGCACGCTGTCTCTGGACACAGGCTGGGGGTGGAAGGCTTGTTCCCTGGAGTAACAGTCCACCTCAGTGCTGCAGTCACTGCATACAACCCGGCCACCATGTTCTGAAGGACAGCACCAAAGAAGGGTTAGAGCCACTCTTCATCCCGTACAGAGAACAGGCTGCTCAGCTCTACCGTGCCAGGTAAGAACGCTGACTGCAAACACAATGCATGCTTCCTCCCGCCCCCAACTATGTCCTCAGAAAAAGACTGGGCAAACACCAAGCCGCTCATGAACGGGTTTTTCGCACTCTGACAATGTAGTCTTACTACTTGGGGGAAAAAAGTCATTTGCCTTAGGTACCATGCAGCGTTGGGTCTATTCAACAATTAGAAATTACAGCCCTGGTGCAAAGGTGCTGACAAACATTTGGTTCGTGCCTTGCCCCTTATTTAAGTTGCTCATTAAATAAGTTGCTCATGGATCTAGAAAATCCATGTTGAGGCTTAGCATGTCACAGATTGATGTAGGAGAAACTATTCTGGAATTAAAAGAGGCCCAAGCCCAAGCTTTGCATTTATACACTGAATACCAGATTTGGAGACAGCTGTAGACTAATAATGTGTCTCCCCCTTTCATGTAGTGACTAGGTCAGCCCAAATTTCCATTTCCGAAAGGAAGACTGCAGATGGGAAGCATCTCATACCCATCTGATGTGGCCCAGGTGTCCCTTCAGCTTTCTCTGTCGCTTTCCACGGCTCTTTGTGGTAACCAACACAGAGCTTCGGCTGCCTGCAGGCAACGCTGTGAGCATCGGCCTCTGCAAAGCGGCTTGGATCTCTTGGACAGACACCTGCGATGGATTCCAACACAATCAGAAACTCTGGGCTTAGTATTTCACAGGAAGTCTTAGGAATGGGCAAGGCCGCTAGAACAGTCATTTTTTTTTTAAAAGTTCTCTAAAGTGGTGGGCTGTTGGTCTAGCAAGCAGCATGTTTTCTAATACTGCTTCCCAGCAGGCAGGCCGGCCTGTGAAGTGAGCAGCTCTCTACAGGGTGAGCCACTACAGTCTCAGGTGAGTGCTCAGAAGCCCTCCATCGTTGGAAATATCTCATCCCGGTGCCAGCTTTCTAATATGAGACTGGAGCACAGAGCAGATCTGGGCACGTTCTCCATGTAAGGAGTGGGTTGGGTGGGAGCCCTGTAGTGCCCTTTCTAGCTGCTACGCCAGCCAATCCTACCTTACCCTGCCGGGGAGATGCTAAGCCCAATACAGTGACTTCCTGGAGGGCTTTAAAACCTTGCAGAACTCATGAAAGCTGGGTCCAAAATAGCAGACCTTAGTCACACAGCTTTCCATCTAATGCCAGCTACATGCCCTGCAAAGAGCTAGAGGCCACCTCCAGCACCCAGAGACATAGTCACAGCAGGGCTCTGCTTCACACTGAGGCCTTACCATTGCTCTCAATGTGCCCATTGGCCTGATGGCCACCCTCGGTCCTGACCACGGTTTCTTGTCGGTCAGAAAGGGTCCCCTGAGAAGAGAGGTAGCTTGGAACATCTGGTGGCACAATGGTTTCATCTGCAAGGAGACAAAACAAATGAAACACCAGGGTCACAGTGACAAGAAATGCAGACACATGTTCACTGTCAGGCTCAGAAGCGGGATCCTTCCAGTGCTGACCATCAGGGCTGGGCAGAGCGCGAGTGTGGAGTCCATGTATGCAGCAGGCCCTCCCAGCGCCTGCTCAGCCTTACTCTACACCCAGTGTGAAGAGCGCAGCAGGCAGATGCCACAGGAGGTGGAGATGAGTGATGGGAAGGGAGCCAGGATGCACAGAAGCACCACGCTGGGAGATTGTTTCAGTTACAACCTACGATGTGGCAGCAGGGCCTGTGCACAGGTGGCCCCTCAGTTACCAAGGAGAGGGAAAACTGCAGGGTGTGGCAGTTACTTCTATTTGGGAGCATTGCTGTTAAAGATGAACTTCCTCAAAGTCAAAATGGCAATCAGTGGGACTAAAGCCTCAGGAGTTCTGAACGCACTGTGCTTCTTTCAAAAGCCACTGGACCCCCCCCCCGGCCCCGGTTCCCCAGCATCACCGTCGTTCCCCCCTCCCTGGAAGTCAGCTCTGCCAGCAGGGCCTGACCTGTGTTGGTGACACTGTACTCCTCACTCTTCTTCCTCGTCTGGTAGATGATGCACACCCAAACCAGCGACGTTAGAACGATGCTGCTCACCACGGCGATGGTGAAGATGCCCACCGTGGTCCCATCCTTCCTACAGCTGGCCGCAGGCAGGATGCTCAGCTGGCTGTGAGCTCGCTCTGTGCCCAGGGTGTTAGACATCTCACAGGTATACTGGCCCGCATCCTCTGCCACCACATTCTGAACCACAAGCAGCTGGTTGTCAGGGGTCAAGTGGTGCCGCTCAGTGAGGCTCAGCAGGTGGTCCCCCTTGAACCAGGTGATGCGGGGCGGAGGGTTCCCAGTCGCTTTGCATTGGAGGGCTACCGTTTCTCCCACAGATAACACACGGTCTTCCAAGGGCACTGCCAAGGATGGGGTCTCTGCAAAAGGTCAGCAGAGAACTTTTAGTCATTCTCAGGGCCTCAGGTGCTTTGGCTCTGCCCTGTCTTTGGGACAATAGACAATCCAACATATCAGTGAGATGCATCTGAGATCATAGAGTGGAAAGCTTTTTTAACATGTCAACTAACTCATCTCCACTTTGGGGGTGGTTTCCACAGGGGCAGTAAACTAATCTCTGCCCACAAAAGCCCCTGCTATTCCTTAACCATCCTTTTGACCAACCCATATCCAACTTGTCCAATTCTTAGAATGTTCTCTATCTAAACCCAGTGAAGAGAGAACCACCAAGAAAAATGTTAAAAAGCAGCCCCAAAAGGCCCACCACACCTATCACCCCTGGCCACACAGAGCAGTCTGAGGACCTTGGCTCTAGGTGCCTATGACACACACACACACACACACACACACACACACACACACGCACGCACGCGCGCGAGCAGTGGCCGAACCTAAGACAGTCAGGGTGGCATTAGCTGAAATGGAGCCGGCTGAGTTCTGGGCAGTACAGCTGTAAACCCCTGCGTCATCGATTTTCACATCAGTGATAAAAAACACGTCGTCATCTGGCATGACATGCATGCGTCGCTCACGGGCAGCGGGGAAATCCGTGCCTCCATCCTTCTGCCAGGCAATCTGGGGGTTCGGGTGACCTGTGGCAGCACATTCGAGGCGGGCCATGGTGGTGGTCCGGATGGTTATGTCATGAGGCATTTTGGTGAATGATGGCAACACTGGAAAATATACGCATACAGGCTCGGGTTATGGGACAGCTAGATGCAAAGCCAGGAAGTGTGCCCCATCACTGTGTCCCATGCCAGTTCACTTCCTCACCACCGTTTCTGCCAGGGTCTGCCCAGGACCACTCCTGCCGCCTGGGAATCAGGAACCCCCAGCCTCTCCCACCACAGCTGGAGCACTTCCATCAGCCTTGCCTTATACCTGAGCAGCTGGCTATAGTCCCTTCAAAGTGAAGGCTTATACCTTACATGGCAATGTCTAGACGGGGGTTGCAGGGGGCACCCCTCCACACTAGGTAGGGCATGATGCTTGCCTGCCTTAATTACCCGCTAGGAGGTGGAATTACAGAGGGAAGGCAGACATGCCTACACCCTAGGAGAGCAATGGGATGGCTCATCCGTTTGGATGGGTGTTCCCGCCCACTGCCCAGGTAGGAAGCATTCAGCTTTCTCAGCCTGAAGATTGATGTCCCAGCACGAGTAGAAGGCATCCAGCCACATGTCAGGCACCACCACAGTTCCTGTCAATGTCAATTTGGGGGAGAGTCTAACAGTTACCTGAGTCTTCCAGAATCAGTAAGGACTTGGAATAAGCCAAGACAACCTGACCACAGTGTGGTAAAGATGTTTCCCTGTGGTCTGTGGGGGCTTAAAGAACACGGCAGATCGAGCATTCTGATGATTGTCAAGCCAATTCTTTTTAACTAGAGGGTTAGTAATCAGGAAAACCCTACCAGGTTACTGGGGTGGAGCAGTAAACTACTCAAGCTATCTATTCCCCCACCCCTCAGCTCCAAGGCTGGTTCGTAAGTAAAAACCTGTCAACTGCCAGAACACTGTGTCTGTCAGGCCAGGGCTCACACCAGCCTTGCACTCCACAGCCTCTGGAGAAGCAGCTAGCCTCTGACTCCAAGGCTGTGCCATCTACTCAAAGAACAGCAGCTTCCCCAGGATAAGGGGATGTTTGGAATTTGGAAACCAGATATGCTGGATTATAGAAGATATGAAATGGACAAAAACACAAGACTTCGCTCTCTGCAATTTGAACATCATAGCTAGTTACTGGTTTTTTTTTTGAGACAGAGTCTCACTCTGACACCCAGGCTGGAGTGCAATGCTGCAATCTTGGCTCACTGCAACCTCCACCTTCTGGGTTCAAGCGATTCTCCTGCCTCAGCCTCCCAAGTAGCTGGGACTAAAGGTGCATGCCACAACACCCAGCTAATTTTTTATTACAGACCAGCTATTTTTAGTAGAGATGGGGTTTTATCATGTTGGCCAGGATGGCCTCTATCTCTTGACATCATGATTTGCCCGCCTTAGCCTCCCAAAGTGCTGGGATTACAGGTATGAGCTACTGTGCCTGGCCCATAACTAGATTTTTAAAAGTTATCAAAAATAACTCATTGAGAATAAACCTTGGTATCTGCAAACTTTGCTCTGGGGCAAACCCAGGCAACAGTATGATTTAATACTGCCCCAGAGAAGTATGTCTCAGTCATCTCTACATGGACAGCTAAAAGGACAATCAGGAGTGGGAGCTGCAGGATTCTGGTACTACAACAAGGAAAGATGGTGTTTCCATACCATTCACAGTGAGCCTGGCCTTGTGTGAATAGGTGGAGCCGAAGTGGTTGGTGATGACACACTGGTAGCGGCCCTCATGCCCGAAAGTGACCTCGCGGAGATGCAGGATCGTGGTGTACTCCATCACCTCCCCATCCTGTGCGTGGACGTGGACAAAGTTCTCCATGTCTGCGTTGGTCAGGACTTCGTTGTCCTTCTTCCAGGCAAACGTCATCGGGGAGCTGCTGCTGCTGGCTGCTGAGCACGTGAACCGTATGTCCTTACCTACCATAGCCATGGTGGTTTCTGGCTGGGTGATGATCTGTGGCTTCAGGAAGTCATCTGGGAATAGAAGGAGCAACTGTAAGACACCAGGTTCTGGGTATACACAGGAACCAGGTGCTGTTCATGCTAACACTGGCTCAGACACCAGGCAGGAACCAGAGCTTGAGGTCCCTGTGCATCCTCAGCCCCGCCACAAATGCTGTAAGAGTTGCACCATGGGCCGGGCGCGGTGGCTCAAGCCTGTAATCCCAGCACTGTGGGAGGCCGAGGCGGGTGGATCACGAGGTCAAGAGATCGAGACCATCCTGGTCAACAAGGTGAAACCTCGCCTCTACTAAAAATACAAAAATTAGCTGGGCATGGTGGCGCGTGCCTGTAATCCCAGCTACTCAGGAGGCTGAGGCAGGAGAATTGCCTGAACCCGGGAGGCGGAGGTTGCGGTGAGCCG